TGAGACCATTTTTTACTGCTTCTTAAAACAGTTTTTTAATAAAAAAATTAAATTTTATATTAAAAAAACTGCTATAAAAATAATAAGAAAATAGTCTCAAATGAAGACAAAGTTCTTCACATATGAAGATTTAAAATATTTTCAATTAATGAGAATCAATGAAAAGTCTCAGTGCTAAAATAAGACAAGATGAGAAAATTTTATTTAGGACATAGTTGACACACTCAAGCTTCATTTGGGACTATTTTTATACTGCTTTTTAAAACAAATTTTAAGTACAAAATTTTAACTTTTATATAAAAAATAATAATTTTAAAAAACAGTAAAAAAAAAATCATCACAAATAAAACTTAAATTAAGATTACAAAACTGATCTCAAATTACCACCATACAGACAAATAAGAACTAATCATTGGGCATAGACATCAAGAAATTTATATTGCATGAAAAAATTCTGCCTGTAGCCCTGTACAAAAATATGACTAGCTAGTCAACTACGTACCATGCATACAGCAGTTATAAGGCTACAATCTGCTAACCCTACTGGCCAAGTAAAGTACTATTAAATGGTCAATATTAACCATGATGAGGTCGACAGTGGACCCCTCAATGGCCTGTCGACTCAGCTTCTTCTATTTTAAGATAATATATTATCTATTAACGGTTAATATTTATTTATTCTTCTTAGTGCGCGCGTGCTCGTGTTAGTTCGCGTTCGCGTGGGTGTTTTTACTCTAATTAATCTCCTCGGCCACCTTCGTATGAGTTACTTGATAATTAATTAGCACTAATGCGCTGTCTCTAAACTGCTAATTCTCATATCTAATCAAAGCTGTTATATCAACTGAGTGACAACAGCAATCAGTATTTTATAGTTTGCTTTTTTTTTTCTGACGGAATATGATTCATTTATGTTCGTGTTATGCAACTAAGGCCTAATTAATTTTTTTGTTAGAACATAAATATTAATTTTTTTTTCTTATAGTATTAATTATTTTTTATTTTTTATTTTTCTTTTAGTTTCAACCTTAAAAGTTCAAAGGTTTCCATCAAGAGTTTAACCATGGAAACATCTTTCATTTTTGTTTGGGATAATTTTTTATCACTATTTTTTCATTGCTATCAATGAATTTTTTGTTAGAAAGCTGATTCAAAAATTGTCTCAAATGAAGTCTTCTATTTCGTTTGGGACGACTTTTTCTTACTTATTAAAGTTTAAAATAGCTTTCTAGTACAAAATTTTTAATTTTTTACTAGAAAGTTGATTTAAGAAGCAATAAAAAAAACATCCCAAACGAATCCTTAGACTTTGTTTGAGACAACTTTTTTACTGCTTCTTAAATCAGTTTTTTAGTACAAAAATTAAAATTTTTGTATTAAAAAATTGCTTTAAAAAACAATAAAAAAATTGTTCTAAATGTTAAAAATTGTTTTAAAAAATAATAATAATATTATCCCAAAAAGTAACCCATATGTATTATAATTTATACATTCATAAATGTTATATAAATATTTTCAACAAGTTAATTTCTAATTTTGAGTTAATTCAAATTATATTTTAGTTAGTCAAAGTTCAAATAAATTTTGACCAAAATTATTTTTTTAAAAAAAAAGTTAAGCCTTCTCATATGTTTGGAAAAAAAAAAAATTATGTTCTAATGAGTCAAAATATAATCGAATATAATTTATATCAAAGTAGGATTAAAAATTATTAGATTTATTTTAAAATTAATATAATATAAACTGTTCTTTTATAATATTAATCATAAAATAAATTTAACAATTTTAAATGCATCATCATTAAAATTAATTATGTCATAATATCATAGCACAGTTTGTCCCCCTATCTGTACTAACTACAAAGCACCTGCAAATTAGCTTTATTAAAGAAAGAGTGGTAATTAAATTAAGAATAATTACTCTTAAATTATTACATATTATGGGCAGTAAATTCCTTTATGAAACAGATGTACTTGTCATGACATGTCAAGGTGACTTCACATATCACATCATCATAATTTTTTAGCGCATGTAATTTACACTGTTACGCCATAATGTTTTTCTTAGAAAATATTACGCCATAATTAAAACAGCAATTGCATTGCTTCTTTGATTTATTATTTTGCTAAGCTGAGGTTTATGGGTTTTCTACCCTTTTAAGTAGTAAATCACTTGATAGGTTAGTTATAGATTATATAGGTAAAAGATGGCTTTGAACAAAACAAAATAAAGAGGGTAAACCTCCATTGCTCTAGCTTAGCATGAGTCTTCACACATATTAATCAAATAAAAAATAGAGGGACACAAGGCTATGATGTTGAAAATTATTGTAAAGAAAAATCAAGATGATTGGTCAAATTAAATAATATCCACTATGGACACATAAATAATTTACCTCCATATAGTTAAAGGGGATTCAACACTGAATGCAGTTTGAGCAAATAGAGATTGTAAAAAACCTGATGCCAAGAAAGGTTTCAAAATGCATGGTTATGAATTGACTATCTCGTCTTTACAAAGGCAAATTCGTGCGATCCTCATTGGTGTGACATGAACAGAACTACTAATATCTCAAATAGATGTATCAATTATACTATATTGTATATCTTGATCCTATGAGTACGATGAAATTGACATCTAAAAATTTTGACGATCATATTGACAAAAATATTTTAAAAATTTTGTCAATTTAATTTTAAACCCTAAATTATAATAACAATATCTCAACATTTTTTTCTTATGATGTTCACGAGATTTATTATAAGTCTTTTTTTTTATGATTATGGATCATAAAATGAAGAACTGTGAAAGTTAGAGTGGCTCCAAGAAATTAAAAAATTATTGAATGTCTAATGGTGTGAGGGCCATCATCTATTCCTTGTGTACTGAGAATACACGAAAGGAATGAGACATAACGTTTTAGGTCTATGGGCTTGTATTAGGCCATATTTATGTGGCTCTAACTAAAATGATTATATATAGTCCTTTTGATTATCAAGATTAGGCATTTTTGGTGGTGACAAGTTCATAATGATAAGCTATATCATTTGATAATACTTTTCCACGACTTCATTCTCATTATCCTCTAATTTTTAATTTATTAAGCTAAATTAATTGTCATTTAATTTCGATCATTTTGAAAGCTTTTAGATATGTTATTTGTTAAGAGTTTTATATTTTATTAAATAATAAATTTTATGTTCTAAAAATTATAACAATTCTAGAAACTAAGATTTCGTTTGGGGTAGGTTTCTTACTGCGTTCTAAAATAGTTTTTCAATTCAAAATTTTTTTATTAAAAAACTGTTTTAAAAAATAGTAAGAAAATTATCACAAATGAAGCCTAAGTCATTTTTATAAATAATATTATTCAAAAGAGGAGAACAATATCATACCATCATATATATTACAAATGCATTAGTAGAAATTATAGCTAAATGACTTACAAAAGATAAAGAAGAAAAAATCATAAGATTCCAAATTTATAATTTCTATCATAAGAAGTGGAAGTGAAATTTTATTTATTATTATTTAAATCAGTATTCTATGATAAAAATATTTGAACTAATTTTTTTTTGCACTAGAAAGCTAGTTTAGAAAATAATAAGAAAGCAGTCCCTAAAGCTTTGTTCGAGATAGCTTTTCTTTTTGTCACCTCTTTTTCATTGCTTTTCAATAAAGTTTAACTATAATATTATTATAAAAAATAATAAAAAAAATTATCTTAAACAAAACCTAAGCCAGTCAAACAATAAAGCAAATGACTAACTAAATTTTTTTACTAACTAGAAATTTTCTAAATTGACTTTTATGTTAATTAAAAAGATAATGTAATAATAAGAGAGTACATAGTATTAGGCTAGATAGGTGGAATTTGCCAATTTTTTAATAAAATTATTCAGTAATTAAAATAATAATATTGAATAAAAAAATATATTCTAAAATTTCAAATATAAATTTTTCTTTCCACGCACAAACACTTCCAAAATGGAGCTCTCTTCGGCCCGCGATGCGGCCTCGTGGGGTGATCTCCTCTGTGAGGAAGACGCCGATGAGCTCGACGAGCTGTCTATGGGGTTTCCAGGCGCCGGCGAGGCCTTTGAGTTTCCGGATGAGTCGGATGAATCGATTTCTGTGTTCGTGGAGGGGGAGGCGGAGCACTCGCCGGCGGTGGATTATCCGGCAAGGCTCCGGTCGAGGTCGATCGATTCCGCTGCCCGGGAAGTTGCTGTGGGATGGATTCTTCAGGTGAGATTCTTTACCGTGGGATTCACGGCGCGTTTTGAGTGGCGCCGACGATGCCTGTTTCCCCGAACTTCTGGTTTTTTTTTTCTTTTCTGCTGCAAAAGTAAAAGACTTTTCCCCGAACTTTGTATGGACAAAAATGGCATAGGCAAGTGGTAAAACACTAAAACGTAAAATTTGTTTCCCCCACCAAAAAAAAACGTAAGATTTCAATATTGGTCATAAATAAGTCTTCTTCTATACAATTAGAATATATAAATTGTATGCAGAAAATAAGATTGTTATATTAGCTTATTTTTTCATTATTTTTATCAATTGGGATGAATTTTTTTACTGTTTGTTAAATCAATTTTTAATTAAAAATTGATTTAAAAAGCATTAAGAAATGCATCCCAAATGAAGTCTAAATTCTCACCGATAGAGATCAAATGAAGGGGAAATAGATTTAAATTATTTTTATTATTTTGATTATATATAAATATTTTTTTTATATATTTTATAATAAATTTGTTTGTTATTTTTAAGTTTATTAATAAGTTAGAATAATATAATTGTTAATATATATCATATTTATGCTATGGCTCATTCAATAAAAATACTGTAAATAACCTCTTTTTCTTTTTGTTCTTTTGTGGCAGGTGCATGCGTACTACCATTTCCAGCCCTTGACGGCGTATCTCGCCGTTAACTACATGGACCGGTTCCTATCCGCTCACCGTTTGCCGGTACGCTCCTGTTTTACTATTTGCACCCCACGTTTCTGGATCCTTACATTTGGCTACTCTATTAAATACTGATGACCGAAGCCATTGCTGTTTCTTCATTAAAACTCTCTGGTAACCTTTTACACCTCCACTCGTACAGTGCTGATTGTTGCATGCATGTGGCTTTGCTTCCACATATATGCTAATAAGCGTGCGAAATATTTAAAAAATATTTAAATGCCAAGATTAATATATGTCATTGCACTTTTTCTCTGAAAAAACAAACTAAATCATCAAAGAAGAAATTATTCTGTCCGGAGATCAGATGCAGAACGTTGTCCGGTGACCAACAAAAATACATCACGTCAGCGGTAACGAGCTGCGTTAACGTGTAGCATCAAGCTGCGGTACTGAGCGGTAACGACCAGTACCAAGCCGCGATATTGTGCGAAGGAGTGATTTAACTCATTTTGATTGGTCTTCGATCGGTGTTGGAGTATGCACAGAATAATTAATCATAAGAACTATAGTAATGGGAGCAAAAGATGATCAAAGTCTAGCATTCATGTTTTATCCTGAAGCATACTCATATGCATTAGGGATAACAGTTCTGTGCTTCAAACTCAGTACTCTTGTTTGTCTTAAGACAGATGTATCTTATAATTTACATCATTTGATTAAGCTTATTAAGATTAAGATTGTTAATCCAGCAAATTAATGCCTGACTTGCTCTATCATGATATATAGCAAGCCAATGGATGGCCTTTGCAGCTTTTGTCAGTTGCCAGTTTGTCTCTTGCTGCAAAAATGGAGGAAACCTTTGTACCTTCTCTGCTTGACTTGCAGGTTGATGATTTTTACCATTCCTAAATGCTCAACTAATTTGCACAAATTGAAACGTTAAAGTTGACATGGAAATAAGTCAGTATTGATTGATATAGGTTGAGGGAGCTAGATTCATCTTTGAGCCTCGAACTATCTGCAAGATGGAGCTCCTTGTTCTCACTGCTCTGAAATGGAGGCTTCGGTCTGTGACGCCATTTAATTTCATTGATTTTTTTGCCAGCAAGGTAGATCCAAGTGGGGTGTATAGAAGATATTTGGTTTCTAGTGCTGCACAGATAATTTTATCAGCAATAAATGGTAATTTATAATTTATTTATAACTGCTATATTGTATATGTATCTGAATAGAATCTTATTTTATATAAGAAAAAAAGTCTTCAAATCTAATTGGAGCATTATCTTATGTCACAGATATTGATTTTCTGGACCATTGTCCATCATCAATTGCTGTGGCTATCATCATGTGTGCTGTTGATGAGGCTCCTGATCTGGCTTTCATTGACCCCAGACAAGCGGTCAATTGGTGCAGTGGACTTACTAAGGTAATTAAGATGGAATTTAATTAATTTTGTGGCATGATATGGTGGTGTTAAAGAGTTGAGCTCAGTTTGTGCTACCTCCAACTTGCATTTGAGCTTGACTAATTAATTATGTTAAAGCTCAAGCTCAATTATATAAAGTTGAGCTGATCGTTAACCAACTTATTTATTATGAAAGAGAGAAGACAATACAGGAAAACTTTGGTATACCGGCGGAATTATATCCGCTGGTAGAAGCGGAGGTGAAACCGGTGAATATTCCGCCGGTAAGTTAGTGGTGAATTTCTGACAGTTTTTTCACCAGAAAGATTTTGACGGAAAACCAGTCGGAAAGACCGTCGGTTTAGGGTTTAGAGCTAGATAATTTAATTCATGTAGATATTAAATGAGAAATTAGTTGAGATGAAAAAAGTCAATATAAATTTTTTTGATAACTTCTTATTTAAATTCTTGAATTGAATAAGCTAACTTGCAAGTTGATAAGAGAATTTGGGGTTGCTCGAACTTACCTCATTATGAGCAATTTATCAAGTTGAGCCCCATTTGTCGCATAAGTTGGTTTGACTTAGCTACTCACTATCAATGAGATTATACTTGATTGTTTAGTGAGATATTACGTGAATAATTAACTTTTCTTGATAGGAAAGGTTATTTACATAATAATAATTGATACGTACTCCTGGACGCAACAATAATGTATCAATTACTTAGTATTTGGTTCAATGCTGGTTTGCACAGATTATATAAGTATTATGTAATATAATCAATACATAGTAGCTATGTTCTTTTTGTTATTTTTAATCATTAAATAGCTTGACTTCTTGATCTCATCAAATTTGAGCCATATCTAAGATGTCAACACCCATAATCTCTAATTAATGCTTGATTGATGCAACAAGCTTATGCTTGAAGAACCGCATTCTTACTACCATCTTCTTATTGCAGGAAGGCATTACAGACTGCTATAGACTCATGCAGCAAATTGTTATAAAAGGAATGAAGGGAAGATCTGCTTTCATTCTGCCTCATCTAAGAGTGAAAACTCTCATTAATCTGAGCTCTGAGACCACATCGTCTCCTTACTTCTCTCTCCCACCCAACAAGAAGAGAAAGCTGAGCAAAAACTGCTTATGGGTGAGAGAAGACAAGGAAGCAACACATGAACCTGAATGATATGGATGTTGATGTGGCCATGATCGAAGAAGATAAAAGCTTACTATATAAGAGGTAGGCTTGTGTATTAATTGCTTCATAGAATTTGCGGATTCCTCATTATTTTTCTAGAGGAGTTTGGTGAAGTAGATTAGAATATAGGATTTGTGCATGGGAAGAGTCGGGTCTAGTGGATGATTGATTTTATTTCATTTTTTTATGCCTTTACTTCTCCATATTTGGTTCTATTAGTTTATGTCAATATGTATATTTGAATGGCTTCTTGATTCCCAAAGGAGGGGGACCTTGCCATTCTTTATGTTTGTTGGAAGTTGAGGGAAGATTGTTTGACATTAAAATCTAGGAGCATTGATGACTGAACGAAAGATGAGCAATGGTGGGTCTTCTTTAGGCCATTGAAGGAAGAAGAGGCAATCAATTTGGGTTGGTAGAAGGCAGCTTTTAAATTTTTTTGGTCGTTTGGTCAAGCTTCTAGCTTTTCAACCTCCTCTCTCTTATTCAAATATTGTACTATTATTTCTTTTATTTTATCTTCCTTAAGTGGTGTGGTGACACATGTGATGCATTATATGCTTTCATGTGTGAATAGATGGGGACAGTCACCCCAAAATCTGGGCATATTTGCCTAACCTTCGGCCTAAACTCTTCCTTAACAGAAGACTTTGGAGTCTTTCTGTGTATTTGTATCATTTGATTTCAATCAATAAAGAAATATAGTTTGGAGTATGTTATTATTTGTTTATCTCATAACTGATTTGTTGATGAAATGAGATTATGTTCATGATACAGCGACATTTTGCTCTTTTGTGTTTGGTAATGTTCTAATTTATGCTGCCATGGAAAATTTTAGGCAGGAGAGATCTGAAATTCTGATGAATACATAGTACATATTGCTTATCTAATATCTTAGATCTAAACTTTTATTCATCCACCAATGATGCGTAATATAAAAGCTCAAGTAATTAATTACTTGCAAATTTAAACTAAACAGTTGAATTAACAAAAAAAAATTGTGCAATTCTTTTTCGATTATTAAGACTTGGTTTGTCATAGCTTTCTAAAACAGCTTTTTAGTACAAAAATTTCGTTTTCAAAAAATTTTTGCGCTAAAAAATTGTTATACGAAAGTTGTCCTAAAAGAAGCCTAAAATGCATATCATATAATTAATTATAGTCTAGTTCAAGACAAATAGACATTAATCATCAGTTGAAGTGCTACATGATTAGTGGCATTCATTATATTTGATTTGCACAAATCTTGAGGGTGATGTAATGAGTAAGGTCATTAACTATGTCTTTGCCAATTTATAATGGAAAAAAGAAAAAAAAATGTCATGATATTATAATTTATATTAAGATGAAATTAAAATATTATTAAATTATTTATCTATATTATTAATCTTAAAATAAATTATATACTTTTCAAATATATATAATGAATATATATTATAATAATGAATAATATGGATTCCTACTACAAATAAAATTCAAGTGCAATAATAATGAAGATAGATACTTCAATAATTAGGACATCTTCTCATATGTGACATGATAAGATTATAATCTTGATATTTATATGATACATCATATAATTAGAAGTGGAATTGAAATTATTTTAAACTAATCATCATTAAATAAATTAAATATATCAATTAATTTAAATATTGACTCAATAATTTTATTCATTGTACTTAAAATTTCGAACATAATTGACTGTCCTACTAATCAAGGGATTATTCTATGCGGACGTCAGATATGTCCGGAAGCGAATCCAGACATGCCATGTCACTTAGTGTACTATACACTGAGTGATGTGATGCTTCTGGAGTCGTCTTCGGACGCTTACTCACCATGTATGATCAAATAGTTTTTAAATCCTTAATCCAGATTAACCACCGCACTTTTTGACTCCCTAATACATGTAAGACCATGAAAAACTAAGAGTATGCGTGCAAATCCTGTTTTATTATCGCTTAATTAATGACGGACCTTGGATTAATTAAGATATTAATGATGTCTTAACCACTAATGTCAGAGACATCACTGCTGAGCACTCACTGGCACACAGTTCAATAGCAACAAAATCAGGTGCAGAGCACATGCCTTGATTTCACAAATGACAGGAGGATGGAGCTTCTGTATGCTCAGCAGAACATCAATATATATATAAGTTTCAAATGATAGTGAACAAAAATATTTATAGGCTATGAGCAGCTTTTGTGCCCATCTTGCCTTCTGTGGTTCTGTTATTGTCTTTGACCCGTCGGACTTCAATATCATAAGAATAAATTGTTGCAGTGAGGGGAATTCTCATCACTATTTATTAGGTAATAATTGATCCAAATGTAATTTTTCTTTGTGTTAGAATATTTATGATGGTAAAATTTTTTTTTTAAAAAAAAGAAAGAAATATATATATTTTACGTATCATTTATAAAAAAAGTTAAAATAAATGAGAGCTATCTTTTTAGGAGATCATTTATGTTTGATCACGCTATTTTCAATCGGGGAGACTAGAAACTAAAAATATAACATAAATCTTGATTCTGATGTTGGACGTTAAAGTTGGTGTCGACGATATGCATCAATCTTATATAAATGGCATGTGCTGATCGTAATCGAACGATAGCAATTAGAAGACTATTGTAGAATAATATTGGTCAAAAGACAGTAATTGATCAATAGTCAAGTAACAAAAGTCAAAACCATAGTAGGTTGAAGATGGTCAAAGAGTCGCAGTCAGGAGTTGATGGTCCGATGATTGTAGTCAAGAGGCTGCAGTTAAAGGGTTGTAATCAGACAATGGTGGTCAAAAGGATAATAGCTGGGCAATGAAGGTTGGAAGGCTGTAGTCAGGCGATGCTGACTCAGAAGACCCTATTCGGGATACGATGGTCGATAAATGGATCATATTTTCTATTTAAAATGATATAAAAATATATCCTTAGAAAATAACAAATATGACCAAAAAGGCATATCATTCTAAATTTTCAAGGGCGGCATATCATTCTAAATTTTCAACAAATTTCTTTGTTAAATCATTTGAATGCTAACCGTTTAGATTATTACTATGATTAATTTTTCAAAGAATATTGTTATATGATATCGGGCTATGTGTATGTATGTGTGTGTATAATTTAAATGATATTGTAAAGCTATATTATGGATATCATAATTTTTTTTAAAAAAATAAGCAAATATTAATTTTCTTACAGGTATCACACTTTGATAAATTTGATTATAAAAGTAGCTTTTTTATTACAATTTTTTTAAAAAGTAATAAGAAAGTAAGATTTGAAATACAAAGCAACGAAAAAGGTCCCTCTAACTGACCCACAAGCAATTCGGGCCGTGGCTTGGGTCTTGTTTTGGACGTGTTCAAACTTGGCAGGGACCCGCCCATTTAATTTTGCCTTATATTGTAACAATTTACATGTCTACCCCCTCCAAAATAGAACTTTCATTTGCAACTAAAATACATCTTGGAGAATTCATTTTTGGCTCCAATAGAATCTGAATTAAACTAATGAGCCAAATCTTGCTCTATTCTATTCAAATCAGGACCCGATTGAATTAGTTGGTATTATTGACCCAATATCAAATCATTCAAAGCTTACTAATAGGTGAGCAACTTTTTTTCTTCTTTTTGGCTGAAAATAAGGATTTTAATCTCATTTTATAATATAAATGATTTAAGGTCTGTTCTAAAAGAGACCCAATGACAGACAAGACTAGAGACGGCGGAGTTGGATGATTTGGTCACATAAAACTTTGGCCTTCCGATGATCAAGTTAGAAGAGTAGATGTATATATCCGGCTTACGTTAAAAAAGATAGAGGTAGGCCTAAAAAGGCTTGGTTAGAGAGTATTAGAAATGACATTTTTTTATTAGATTTAACTGAGAATTTGATTCTTAATGATACAAAAGATTCATGCAATAAACCCCAAGTAGTGAGATAAAGGTTTGATGACTCAGGGGCAGATCAAAACCATTTCTTTAGGGTTGACAAACTCTTGCAATTTGCGAAGGAGAAGACCGGCGACCTCTTGTGATTTGCGAAGAAGACCTCATCTTGCGAGTTGTGAACAACGGAACGAAAGGGCTTCGAGCCTTTGACTGCGAATCTGCGAACGACAGCAGGCAAAATGGGCAAAACTGGCCCACGATTAATCTTTTTTACTGCTTTTTAGAAAATTTTATGATCGAAAGTTACATTTTACAACTAGAGTAGTTAAGTTATTTTACCCACATCAACTTCATAACTAACTTTATAAAACACGGCACTTATCCCAAACAAACACGCATGCAAATAAAATGCCTAATTAATTTAATCAAATTATAATGAAAGTACATAATGAGATGACTCAAACACACATGAAACTTTTTTTTTACTACTTAACTTTTCCTTCTCACAGATTTTAACTGAAGGGAGAAAACTGAAGAACAATGAAGTGGAAAGTCAAATTCATAGAGAACTCAGTGATATTAATACCTTTGGCATCAAACTAGAAAAAAGATAAAAGAGTAAATGCCTCTGTCTGCTCTGTCCCAAAGCATATTTACTTAAAAGACGAATTACTGACTCAAAATATTCCTAAATATAAAATAAAACTAAAAGAAAGTTCTCTCCATTAACATGTAAGTTACAAATTAAAGGCAACAAAATACTCCAAAATCAGCCTTAGATCTACTTCTTCACTATTATATATTAGATCCTTCTTGATAAAATTAGTTATAATTCATTTTTTAAATAAAAAATTAAAATTAAAAGATTTATTCCATTTCAAAAACATTCTTCTTAAAAGCAGTGTCCTCGCGCATGTGTGCGTGGCCTACATCAATCTATGAGTGTCTGAAATCCACATAAGCTATTAGGGTTGCATCACTTTCGTAACACTCAATTACTGATTACTGGATGTCATGCAAGCATAAATAGGCATAGATTGTCCATTGTAGATTAACGATAGAGTGTTTCTCTTATTAACAATTTAAGAGAATGTTCAATTAACAATCAAAACATTGACGGTGTGATGGACAGCTTTCTTACTGCTTCTTAAAATAGTTTTTTAATTAGTACAAAAATTATAAGTTTTGTACTAGAAAGCTGTTTTTTAAGTTTAGTACTAGAAAGCTGCTTTAAGAAGCAATAATGAAGTTTTCCCAACATGAAATGTTATGTCTTTATAAGTAAAGGAATTTGGCTTAAATTTTAAAAGATGGCACACTTTGAGGACAAAAAAACAGTGGCAAGCTAATATCATTATAGCTTTGAGAGCAAACTTTGTCCATCTTTATACCACAAAAACCAACATGTGATCATCAACTAGTTCCATGGATTCTCCACTGCGCGCGCACACACACAAAAGAGGAATCGTCAATAACTCCACTGAAAAGGAGGAATCTTATACTTCTCTTTGCGAGTGCAAAGATTTGAGTACTCCCAATCTACAAAGGAGAAATATATTTCTAATGCGATGCAAAATACAAAGAGCTTTCATCAAAATGCAACGCAATAAAGCCTGATATTTTTTTCCTTTTCTCTTTTGACTGTTTTGGATTTCTGTGAAGCTTTCACTTACTCTTAGGGAGAGTCGTCTGTCAACAAGCACATGTGTAGATGCTCGGACACTATATTCTGAAAAGGATTAAACCTTAAAAAAAAAAAAGCATTATCTCATGTAATCTCCTTTGCTGCTTTGTTTCAAATCCTCTTTTCCTTTTCTTT